TTGAAAACCTTGTGATGCTGGTAATTAGATTTTACCTCTTGAAAAGTTGTGAAAAAATAATTGCCATGATCAAATTTTGGATTATCAGTGTGGAAAATTGGAATTCCATTCAAGTCTATTATATTCACTTTCACACAATTACCCTTCAAAAGATATGAATCTATCTCTTCTCCCAACAGCTATGGGTTAAATAGTAGGGCAGGTTGGAATCTGTAGCTTTTGTTGGCAACCAGTCTAGAAGACCAACAACTCTGAATTCAAGACCAGTTGGCATGAGGATAGCAATTCTGACTCATAAAGACCTAACCACAACAGCCTAGTATGTTGAGGCTAAGTGCTATACTCTACAAAGGGGTCTACATAACTTACATACAAATTTACTATTAATTTTCTTATAATGTAAAGTTGATTATGACAATGAATGTAAATTTATGCCACTGAATATAAATTGTTCCATTTTTATATAATTTACTTAATGTTATCAACTAATGTTTTTTAAAAGACCATACCCTAAAGTTATCATTTTCATTAAAAAAAAATATTTCATTCACAAAATGCAGGTCCATTTATTTTATTTGCATTATCACAATAAAAGTAAATAACACTGAAAATATGTTAGAAAGATTTTATGTATGTAAAATGACTTAAACGCCAGCCTACATCAAATAGATGTTCACTTGATTGTTTTCTGTGTAACAATAATAATAATTTTGGATGCTAAACTATGAGATTGGTTTATATATACAACAAATTTTCAAATGAACTTGGTCAGTCTGTCCCCCGCCCCAACCTTTGCACTTTCAACTTTTCAATATTCTCTATTTCTATTCTGTTAAGATGTATCAAAAGTATTTTCACTTTAAGTGCTTTTTTTTTTGTTTTTTTTTTGTTTTTTTTTTTAGTTTATATACAATGGTATTTTATATACATATGGTACCTTTTGATGACAGTAGTAGTTCTGAAAGTTCTCAAATGCTGTTGATCATAGATTAATGTTTTAAATCATCATAAGTGACAAATGATAGTCATCCATTTCTGCATTTATTTCAAGTGACAAATCACAACCCTTAAAGAGCACTACAGGCAGATATTGTTTAATTTCTTTCAGCTTCCTGAATACTTTCAGCCACTTCAGCAGCCTGGAGGACAAATTAGATAAAAGTTTCAAAATGACTAATATACCATTTTCACCATTATAACATCTAAAAGAAAAGATACAGCTGAATAGTATTGATAATGATATATATGTTAATAATTATAATGTTGATAATAAAAAAGTCATAGAAAGTCATGAGATGTGTACATGAAATAAAATTTAGAGTAAAGGTCTGTAAAAAGAAATGAAAATACTTTTGATACACACTAATGTAAACTTGTGTCTTTCTCCAGTTTAATTCTAATTCTTGAAACTTTGGATGGAAGAGATTGTGTGTTTTCACTCTTCTTTGAAATAGAATGAATCAAAAAAATGTTTTGAAATATTGTATATGATAATGTGGAGGAAATTGTTGTATTTATTCTTGGTCAATGTGATCTTGTATATAACACAATTCTCTTTTGTATGTAAAAAGCACATATACACACTCACATGCACACACACTTTTAAAATGTTGAAATGTATTTAACAAAGTCTTTGTCAGATGATGACCCTGTAAGTAAATATGGTTTTGAAGTAAAAACAATTACAACTGATTCAGATTGCCCTAGAGGCACCAAACTTTGTTAATTGCAAAATTTACAAACATGACTTGCCTCATCAAGAGCAGTGCTTAAGAGGCTACCCTCAGAAAAATAATTCCCCTCCTGTGAAAATAATATAAATAAATTCTTACTCGCAGGTCACCTGAAAAAAGCTCCACCTTTAAAATGCTCTGGCCTGACTTGTTCCATCCAATTGGACATTATCTTTATCCACTTTTGGAGCTTTATAATTTCATTTTCATGTATGATGCATGAAAAGGCAAAATAAGGAATTCTTATTGCTAAGAATATTTTAAACCTTTAATCTTATCCAGTGTTTATTACAGGCAAATATTTTGAATTTATATAATATGCAAAACTTATTGTAAAAGTTTAAGCATATAAAATATTTACCCTTATTCTTATATGTCAAATATGAAATTTATATGAAATTGATAAACTCATTAGAAATAAGACAAATCTCATCCAGTTAACTTTTCAGGAAAAAAAAATCATATAATAAAGCATACATCTATCAAGAGCATATATTGTTACTGAATAGTGTATGCTATGAAATTTTTACTTTTGAAGAAATGAAATCATGCAAAATACTTCATTTTGCAGTTATTCTTTTTAGATTTGAAACTTAAATCTAATTGACTTTTTAATAAGAAAATTGCGAGCAGGATATATGTTTTTTCTTTTTTAACACTCTCCAGTAGTTAAAACATGCCTGATAGAATTACACACTGTGCCAGAAAATTTCTTTCCCAGCTTAAAGTCACTCCAGCACAAATCATCTTCATTAAGAACTTTGCACACAGCATCACCTTTCAGGCACATTATTTTCTGATCAATTACAATTAAATGACTGCAGTGAAAATTTGCAGTTAGCATTTAATATTTTTTCATGGGGCGGGGAAGATGCAAGGGTGATGATCACATAGGGGATTATGCGAGAGTGCCTGCATCAAGAAATTCTCAGAATATTTAATAAAAAATCATTTTTATAGTAAATTGTTTCAAACTTTATTTTAAGTAACTTTATCCTGCTCAATATTTCCACAGTATGTATTGTCATTAAACATTTCCAGAATTAAAACCAAAATATTAGAAACCAGTAAAGAAATGATTTTCTCTGATGAAAGAGAAAGTTATCTTCAACTAATTCTTAAAGATAAAATACTTTCTTACTAAATTATTTACATTTTTCATACACAAAGATGTCTGACTCTTCAATAAAATCTTTTCTTACTGTTTTATCCTGTATATTTTTTTCTCTTTTATTTAAGGAAAAATAAGAAAATTAAAAAAAAATCATTTATATCCATTGATTCTTTTTGATTTAAATAAAATTTTATCTTGTGTAACTTAGATATTTTCTGACTGAATTTCTGGGATGAGGATTTATCATTATTTACATTATTTACATGCATACTATTATCCTAATCTTATCACTCCTTGAATTATTATATATATATATATATATATATATATATATATATATATGTGTGTGTGTGTGTGTGTTTGCCATCACTAGAGACACAAATGATGACATCAAGGATTTTCCACTAGCTGGGAAGTCTTTGTTATATATTAAGAACTCAGAACACTTTGAGAAATTGATCCAAAGGGGTCCCATCCATAGTTATTGAATGTAAGCTTGGATGTATTGAACCTGTTCACCAGAGTTCTTACAAATGACACACTGTCGATGCTTTGAAACCAACTGGAATCAGACTCCTCCCTTGAAGAATGTACTAGCATTCTAATAGATAACCTGATGGAAATGTTGCTGTTCTGTATACAGACAACATTCTTCCAACTAGATTTTGAAATATACCAACAGGAGGAAGGCTTGGCTGTGGGTTCACCATTGTCACCAGTGTTGACAAACATATATATTGAATGTTTTGAGGAGTGATGATAACAACAAAGATGCGGACAATAGTCCATGCACAAATAATGTAAATAATTAGATATTTTCATCTAATGATGTGTCAGTAGTGCAAGACTATTGGCAACAGCCTTGCACTGCTAGTATGTTGTTTACAATGGAGTGCATAACAACTTCTGTAATTGTTCGATTTCTGTTGTGCTTCAGTCTCCAAGAGGCAGCAGCAGCGGAAGTCGAGTAAGTAGCATGTTCATCCAGTGGCAAATGCAGCCATAGAAGTCCCTATTCATTATGTTAGTGATTGACACCTTAGTTAACAATGACACCTCCACTTCAGAATCTTACTGCTGCCACCATCCTCAGTCACCCCACACAGTTCTGTGGGAGACGTCCTTCTCTTTCCTTTACTTGACATTTGAATGATTTAAGAGTTTAGGCCAGAGAAGTGACCACTTGTTTATGAATGATGAAGAAGGACTTACTTTTTTTTTCAGTTGCAAATTAGAAACATAAAACTTAAATGTTATTGTTAATTACTTTGGGTTAATACTTGTTATCATTGTATTTCCATGCCACATTATGACCAAAGAAATCTCATTGTTATTTTTAGGTATAATGCCAGTGTCTTTCACTTAATTGTCACCAATAAAATGATTTATATCTTATCTCAGAATGGCTACAAATTGACTTCTTTAGCTACTTGAAACCAAGAATTTTTTGTCTGATGTCCTATTGATAAAATATCTTATCAGTGGCATCCACGACAGTCATTACTTACATTACCTTCATTACAATCTAAAAATTGTCTTGAATCACCCACATTTCCTCCATATACCATTTATAAGGAGGAAGTTCCATTCCACTTAGACAGCCTTTGTTCCCCAAGAACTACTTTGTGGAACAAAATCTTGCATAGATGCTTCCCTGAACACTAAAATCTTAAACTCTTAAAGTCAAGAGTCAATCACTGTCTATCCTCATAATCTTCACTTCTTCACCTACCTCTCACATTCACGTCACATACCTCAATCTGTAACACTCTACCCTGAGTAGCTCTTAAGCCTTATATTGGGTGAACCTCTTTATCTGCTTGATTACCAGAATAAAAAACTCAGAACAAAGAATTTCTCAGGAGTCATTTTCTTAGTGGATAAAATATAATCTTGAAATATATGGGCATGTTTTTCATAATATTATAAGACTTTTCTACCCCACCAAACATTATTATTACTTAGCTTATATCATTTTTATTAAAAGTTTTAAATTATAATTCCTTATGTCTTCAGAAGCACTTTCCATTTCTTTAAAAACTTTCTTTCAATGTCATTGAATGTTGGAAGTTATTCTTAAAAGCGTTATAGAAGAAATATAAGAATTTTAATAAAGAAAATCTATGTATAAATTATATATAAAAATGGTATATCAAAAATACAAATTGAGAATTACGCTAAATGTACATCTCCTTTATAAGTTCATTAAAATTATTCCTTTATCTGTTGGGAAATTTATTCAAATCTTCTCTTAAAAGTATTTTTTTCTTGAATTGTGCTAAGTAAATAAGAGGCTGAGTCAGGATTCATAATTTGTTTTGTCAAGATGAAATTCACTGTAAATGCTTGACTTGCAACCAATCAAAGCATAAAGGCTAGCATTGTTGCAAGCAGATTTAAATAAATACACACATGAAAGAGAATTTTTCAGGCATTTTAGTTTATCCTGACATCTTTCTTCTGATTAAGTTTGATTGTTGCTCAATTGTATTTTAATTTCTTATCTATCTACATCAACTTCTTTTACTGAATTTCTGTAATATAAACCAACAGTAGATTAATAAACTAAAACTTATATATATAAGTCACTTGACTTGAACATAAAATAATCCCTTCTTTCTGGTGACTTAATACTAGATTCAAATGATATAAATATTAACAAACATAAAAAAAAATCCCTTATTTCTGGTGACTTGAACATAATTGAAGATATTTTCATTATTTAAGAATTCTTGTGTTAAATCTGGCCACCAGTAATTTCTTAGTAGTTTTTTTTTCCTTTCTGATGGTCAGTTTTGTTGAATTAGAAAATCCCTATATTCATCTTTTAGCTAAATTAATATTATAAGTATTTATGAGGATGCATCATTAAGTCCATAAACTGATAAAGTTATTTGCTGGATTTTGATTTGAAATTTTCACTGTATAATGCTTATTTTATGTGATCAGTTAAGAAACATTGAGTTAAATGTATCAACAAAGAAGATTATATTGAAAAATAAATATTTTTTGTTTAAAATAAATGCAACCTCCTTTATCATTAGGGCTTACAACCATAGCACATTCAAACACCTGTCCTCATATGACCACTGAAGTTAAGCAATGTTGAGCCTGGTCAATATCTAGATGGGTGACTGCTTAGGAATACCAAATGTTGTAAGCTTGGGTGGGCTTGTGGTGTAATGGATAATTGGAATTGGAGATCAGAGAACCAAGTTCCAATTGGCTTCATTATATTCACTTATGCATAAATACCCTTAGGAAATGTATGAATCCACCTTGTCTCCCCCAGCTATGGGGTAATTAGTAGGACTTGTATCAGTAAATCATTATTATCTCCAAAAAATTCTTACAATGTAAAAATATTTTCTGGCTTTAAATAACCTGCAAAAGGTTGATAAACTATAAAAAACCCCAATCATTTAATTTATCATTAGGCTATGGACTTATTGATGTACTCATGTACATACAACGGGATATCTACTATTATATCACTTTCCTTCTTCATCATTTAAACAAAACACCTTGTTTTTCTTTCTTTAAACCAATAACCAATAATAGTCAGCATTGAGCTCTGGTGTTTTTTTTTTTTTTTCTTTGGTTTGGATGATGGTTGTGGTTGACTTACTTTTTACCTGGTAGATATAATTTTTCTTACCTGTACTGTGTGAATTTGTTAGCAAATCAAGGATGGCTCTGCCAGCTGATGCTTATTATTTTACAATTTTTAGGGTACCATCATCTCATAGCATTTTTATTGCTTCCACCTGCAAGCGCAGCACATACAGCACTATTTGAAACTACAGTCACTTGCATTCAAGAAGACTAACAGATCTGACTGCCGCATTTTCTATTCTTCAACATCAACCTGTACTTCTCAAGTGTATTGGAGTATTTTTGTTAGCATCAAAAAATTCACAAGCCTGCTTTTTTCAGGAATTTTCAACTTGTGTAAGTTGACTTCACCAATTCGCATGGCTTTAAATGCGTCCTGGTTTGTTAATATGACTAAAGAAGATTGGCATTTTGAAATCTGAATATGAAATAAAAAAAAGGTTGTTTTTTTTTGTTTTTTTTTTAAGCTGGTTTGCATTTTGTGAAACGAATCTTTCTTTTTTATTCTAAACACAACTGTATTATCTTGTTAACAAGAAAAATTGAGAAATAATATAGCCTTAACTGACAGACTAATAAATTGATAATTTTTTACTAACATTTCCTTCATCTTAACTACAGTTGCATTTCATCACAGCTGTTCAGACTGTCATTCTATAAACATTAGTAAAAGGTGGGTCACAAAATTAAAAAAAAAAATTCTTTTAGAAAGACTTTTATCTCTTCTTCTATATTGAAGCCTATATTTGGATAACAGTTATTCTGAAGTAAAAATCCAATGGTTGTAGGACATCAAATTTAAACTAGAGTGTAAAACAGAAATACATCCCATATATACCTCCCAGAAACATGTCCCACATGTGACATCCCTGGTCTTGAGAGACCATAAATCTGCACCCATAGAGTTATGCCTCAGCTGCTGATGGTGGCGCAGCATCTGTTATGGCTGTACAGGCCCACACAGAAGTGACAGTCTTGATTGCAACAAATGCATGTGAAGACGCTCTCCTCCATGTTGTTTTGTTTTCTTCAAGCAAGCTTCTCCCTGGCAGCAAGCCTCTGTTTCTTCTCTACTCACTCCAGCCCTCAATATAAATCACGTCTCCATTGTGAGCGATCATTGGCTATGTCTTCCCACCTCTCAATGTCTATATCCATCACCCTCATGTCCTTTTTGCAAACATCCTTAAAGTGAAGATGAGGTCACCCTCTTGCCAATGGTCACTTTCCTATACAGAAGGACCTTTAGAATTTTCCCATTAGTAGACTGTTGCTTCCCATGTTTTGACATCATGGTGAAGTGATACTGGAGTGTCCTCTCCAGGGCAGAAGCCTGGTCAATGTTTTATGAGAGATCGGCAGTTACTATGCAGCATGTCTCTACCGATGTTGTCCAAGGTAAAGGTAGAGTCCAATACAGTTTGGCACCGGCGTTGTGAGAGGAGGAGTTGCCAGAATGAAGTTGAACATAACACCAGACTGTCTTAGAGACTTTGTCCTCGGGTCTACTCCCAAAACATGATTGGGTATGGTTGCAAGACAGAGGAGGTTTGAAATTTTCCTTCTCTTACTTTCCACATAATATTAGTGACAATGGTATCTTCCTCTAGCTGATGTCTTACCATTATGTGGGAAGTATTTTTACCACACCCTTTATATGTTTTTGTTCTTTATTTTCCTTAAATGATCAGTGCTACCATCTTTGATGTTTTGCTTCCATGCACTAGTATAATTAGTAGTCATATTGAATTCTATTATTGATGATGCCTCATCTAATAATAAAATTCATGATAATAGTATTATTAGCATAAGTAAAGAAATACTCAAAGATGGTTATGCCAGCTGTTTGGGAAAAATAAAAACTAAGGATAAAAGGTTTAAATTTTACCTTCAACTGCTGACTTTCATAATTCAATAAACAGAGCATCTATCATTCCTAATAAAAGAAAAGATGCAAAACTGAGTTTATTCCCAATCTATACTGTTTACCAAGGGATGTAAAATGACAGTGAGTAGTTGCAATGAAAAACAACTAATAATAAAATTCAAGATAATGATTTGTTTTATTCTTTCTTTTCTTTCTTAATGTTCTTGTCTTCTCTTTGTGCCTTTTAACTAAAGTTTATACATTTCAAAACTAACTATTAATACTATCATTTTGGCATGCCACTGCATAGTGTCTTATTACTAAACATTATTAAATAGTTAATGACCAACAGTAGAAAAATTTTAAATGTCTAATTTCTGTCAAATGGATACGCAATTTCTTTTTTTTTTAACTTCTATTGGTTACTTTGGAAAGAATTTCATATATTGACATTTTTTAGCAAAAATACCTTTAATTAATTTATCAATCCCAATGCTTGTATTTGAGAAAGAAAATTCATGGGATTAAGTCAATTAGAAGTCAAAAAGAGAACATCTTTTTAACCTTAAAATCATTTTTTAAAATCTTAATAAGCATATGTTTTTTAAATCATTTCACCCCAAGCAAGGCAATAAACCCACTAAGACACAAGAAGTTACTGAGTGTTAGGGAATATGACAGAAAGAAAACATTATTAAGGTGGGAGAACAATAAAAGAACAGGGATTAATAAAACAAAAGATAATTGATATTGCATTTAAATTTTTGAAAATCAAATTTTACTGAGAAGCAGACTCTTTCTGGGTCATAGGTCTGCAGTTATACCAAGTGATACTGCAACGGTTTCAGTTGTAAGTGAAGTTTTACAAAGCAAGATGCTAGCCCAATACTTAAGTTATACTTAACAAACCTAAAGGGATCCTGTCCTGTTAATTTACTCATATCAAGGAAGGAAAAAGTGGATTCATGCCTCCTTCAAGAGTGTTGGTGTGAACACCTACTGTCCTAGTTAGCCTTTGAACTTGATTTGCCAATTCCATTTTCTGTATTGTTGACCATGAGGCTATCTACACTTTTTTTTTTTTTTTTTTTTAAATTATTTCACCTGAAGCAAGGTAATAATGCTACTAAGATGGAAGAGAGTTACTGGGAATGAAAGTTAGTAAGAAGACTAGTGAAAAGTAAGGACAATGAAAGACCAGGATGTCAGAAGATGGCAATTGATATTGCATTTACATTTTTTAAAGTTTTAGGTGGCAGGGAAGGAAGAAACCAGAAGTTGTTTCACAGGCAAAAAGTAAGAGCAAAGAAACTACTAGAATAGAACATATGATTACATCTAGCTAATTCAACAGTAAAATAGTGAGACCTAGTTGACAATCTAGTAGTAAATTCATGTAGTCGGGGTACCAAGGAAGTACTCCAACTGTATTATTTCTTTAATAGGTTTTTCTCAGTTTAGACTGGTTGCTATTAATTTCATTGTTTAAGAAAATAAAATAACAATGATAGCAACTGAAATATGTGTCCACATTAAAAAAAAATTAAAATAACGTTTATAGTAATTATTATTGTGTTAAGTGAAGTCTTATTTTAAATAATGTGAAGTAAACAACATTTATTTTCTAAAAGACTAACAACTTGGAACTCAGATATCTGCAAAATATATTGTTAGTCACTCTAGAAAATGCATTTCTTTTACATCTACCATTATCTTGAATAATTATTTAATCCACTGTCAGAGTAAGAAAACCCATTATTTTATTAGTTGCTCCAGGATAAAAATATTATCACAAGATAGCTTGTCAGTTTGGTCACAAGTAAATTAAATCACACACATCAAAATCTTCTGAGTTTTACAGTTTAATTTTCATAATTGTATAAAGAATTTTAAAAAACAGGTCTAGAAAATACTTCTTTTTTTATCATTTCACCTCAAGCAAGGCGACAAAGCCACTAAGACACAAGGAGGATTACTGTGAGTGAAATAAACTAAGAAAACATTATTGAAGCAAAAGAACAATAATAGGACAGGATTCAAGGGAACAGAAAATGACAACTGACATTGCATTTAAATTTTTGAAGATTGTAAATGACAGGAGAGCAAGAAGCTGGAAGAGAGTTCCACAGTTACAATATGCTCTATCACTGATATTGAGCACTTTAGCCCATAAATATAGCATACCTTAAAATACACAAAAAGAAACTATTAAAATAGAACTAATCTAATGCTTTGCTTAAATTTATGATGTCAATGTATAAAAAATGACAGCCCATCAGAATAATTACAAAGAAAATATTTATAGAAAAGGCACTTGCAGATTACATTAAGGCAGTGGGAAAGGAATGAAATTATAGAAATATAATGGAATAATAAAAATGCCCAGTCGTTTAGTGGGGTTTCTAAGATTTTATTTTTATTGTCTAATTTTGTTTCTCAAATGTCTTGCCTTAATTCATGCAGAATTTTTTTTTTTTTTTTGAATGCTTTTTGATAATAATATACATTTACTCTAACTAGTTTAATCTTATTGAGGCATGGTATGTTTTACTTTTTTAAACTTATATATCTACTAAAAATACTATTTCTTTTTAAATTGGGGATGAAAGGAAAATGTTGGTTATTACTAAAGTCATAACTATCAATTTAACTAGATGAAAGTGAACTTGATCTGAAATT